GCAACCTCCGCCTCCTGGGTTCAAGCAATTCTCCTGCCTCAGCCTCCTGAGCAGCTGGGACTACAGGCACACGCCACCATGCCCAGCTAATTTTTTGTAGTTTTAGTAGAGACGGTGTTTCACCATGTTGACCAGGATGGTCTCGATCTCTTGACCTTGTGATCCACCCGCCTCGGCCTCCCAAAGTGCTGGGATTACAGGCTTGAGCCACCGCGCCCAGCCTTACAACGGGACTTTTTAAATGCATACAAATACTATTAGATTTTTAAAAAAGAAAAAGAGGCCGGGCGCGGTGGCTCAAGCCTGTAATCCCAGCACTTTGGGAGGCCGAGGCGGGTGGATCACGAGGTCAAGAGATCGAGACCATCCTGGTCAACACGGTGAAACCCCGTCTCTACTAAAACTGTAAAAAATTAGCTGGGCATGGTGGCGCGTGCCTGTAATCCCAGCGACTCAGGAGGCTGGGGCAGGAGAATTGCCTGAACCCGGGAGGCGGAGGTTGCGGTGAGCCGAGATCGCGCCATTGCACTCCAGCCTGGGTAACAAGAGCGAAGCTCCGTCCCAAAAAAAAAAAAAAAAGACCCTTTGTAAAAGAGCAGATAAATAGCTCTTGGTGATCTGGCATTGTTAATGATGAATAGTAGGAAGAGAGATTTTATCAAAGGAAAAGAAAGGGTCCTTGGGGAAAGTTTCTTACTGAAACAGACAAGAAGGCAAGAGAGTGTTAGAGATGGTATCCCAGAACCTTTAAAAGAATTTGATTAGGGGAAAGTTCCTCAAGTGTATGAAATACTTTAGTAATTTACTTCTTATACTCTAATTCCTATGATTTTATTCCTCGTTGTACTGAAATTCTATTCAGTTAACACTTATTAAGCACAAAGCACAAAGATATGTTCCCTGTCCTTGAAAATGCTTATTAGTCCAGGAAAGAGATGGGGTATACGTCCACTGGAAGTTACGTGAAGATTAAAGGATACCAGGAAAATCACCTGTTCTTGAGTACTCCAGAGGAATGACAGGAAGGTACAACCACTCAGCTTCCAAAGGCACAGCACTGTGGAATAAGACTTGAGACATTACCGGGTGGTGTGGGTAGAGCTTAGTCTAGTTCCCTTCTGTCTTGGTGTCTTCAGTGTCACACATTCTGCCAAACTAGCTGCCATAAAGCTGGATCATCTGATCTTAGGAACCTAATTATTTTGCTTCACTGCACTGCAACTGTATTTACAAATTTAAGAAACATACGATGTTTTAGGCTCTGGTCAAAAATAAATCGCTATAGTGGGACAGAATGAATCCCCAGTGGATTATTGGGTTGAACAGAAAGAAAACAGGAAAAAACAGTAAGTGGCCATCATATTATTATCTGCAAGAGCAAAACGTTGATTTCTTTTTTGGAAACTAGATTTCAGGGAGATTGTCTCTGAACACAGATGGGACTTGCTTGTGATTTCCCCAAATTGTACTGAAAGAAAGAACTCTAACTGTAAACAATTTCTTCTAACAACCATCATATAAATGTGAGTTTTTAAAGGCTCCAGCAAATACACAGAAACTGTAAAGTGCTGATGGACAAGAGGTGCCAGCACAGCAGAGGGAGGGTTGGAAGGAAATGAAAGCAGAAAGACACTCTCTTATTTTTCTGGAATATTCGAACTAGATGGGCATCCGAGATCATATGGTCTACACTTCCCAAACTTCAATCATTTGCACTTTCACTTAATCCTTACAATTAATTAAGATTTTTCTGTAAGTTCATGATCCCTGGAAATCAGGGGCTTATATATATTGTCATATTTTCCTAATATAACACTAAATGACTAATAAATTTTTCTAATAAAACACTAAACACTAAGACTACTAAAACAAAGTTTGTCAGCTTGCCACACTTTGAGAAATACCTGTTTTATAAACCAAGTGGCACAGCCTTGACAGGTCATTCACTTATGAGACAATCTTCTCCAGATATGTTGTCCAAATGTGCCTATGAAGTTAGCCTAAATTTATCATGTAAGTATCGTGAAGCCCTTACTTTTTACACCCTGGTTTTTCTAAAGTGAGAAATAATTGGCAGGGGCATGGTTTGTAAGATAACCAGAAAGAAAGTCTGTTTTACCTTCAAGGTGTTTATACTCTAAATGGAGTGAAAAAGAATTCCAAACTTAGTTGTATTTCATCTATTACTCAGAAGCTATGTCAACACTGAGCTGATCTTTAAAAGAGTAGATAAAGCAATGTCACAGATCTTAGTCTTGGGAGGTGGCAGAATATATTGCAAAGAGTGAGGAGTTCTCTCCAGGTAACAAAAATGCTGCATTGTTTTCTTTTTGTGTCATTTAAATTTTCTACAGTAAACACTTATTACTTTTATAATCCAAAGGACACAAATTCTAGGTCTAGATTTTTTAGTCATTCCAACCGAGAATTATATGCTGACCCTGCCACTTAAAGCTCTTTGCGACCTCAAGCAACTCAGCCTATCCAAGTCTTGATTTTTGCATTGATACATACAATGAGAGACAATGAGAGAATCACATGAAAAGCTCCCATCACAATGCTGGCAAACAGTAGTCATCAAGAAATGTTAATTTTAGACGTCAATTCTTCCTACAGGACACAAGAATTTTCCTTAAAGAAAACTGATGATGCCGGGCGCGGTGGCTCAAGCCTGTAATCCCAGCACTTTGGGAGGCCGAGGCGGGTGGATCACGAGGTCAAGAGATCAAGACCATCCTGGTCAACATGGTGAAACCCCGTCTCTACTAAAAATACAAAAAATTAGCTGAGCATGGTGGTGCGTGCCTGTAATCCCAGCTACTCAGGAGGCTGAGGCAGGAGAATTGCCTGAACCCAGGAGGCAGAGGTTGCGGTGAGCCGAGATCGCGCCATTGCACTCCAGCCTGGGTAACAAGAGTGAAACTCCGTCTCAAAAAAAAAAAAAAAAAAAGAAAAAAATTGATGATAAAACAACAACCCCCAACCCCACACCAAGTCACATCCATAAGGCTCTTGTTACCTTGGCTGAAGCTGGCCGCTTCCAGTTCAAGTACTGCTCTAGTTCTGTGCCCTTAGCCCGGGCCCTGGAGGAGTCAAACACTTTCCTCTTGGACTCCCGCATCCTGCTGCAGACGGCGGAGTGTCTCTCCAGCCTGAGCAAGAGGAACTTGCGCCCACAGTGGCTGCACTCGCCCAGTTGTGGCTCTTCAACGGAGCCGCGGGAACCTGAGGGGTCTGGTGCCGTGGACAGGCTGGAATTTCTGGCGGATCCCTGCAAAGAACCGCCTGGCGTTTCTGAAGGTGGAGAGAACTTCTCCACCGACGGCTCTGAGACTCGGTCCCGAATTTTGTTATTGCTTGCCACCAGCCTTTCCCTTTTGAGCCTCTGGATTCTATAATCAGAGAGCTGGAATGGACTCGAATTTGGTTGAGACCATCCCCAAGCTTCATCCCGTCTCCTGTCTCTACCGAATTCTTCCTCAAACTCAGAGTCTGGGGAGAAGATAGGTTTGTACGTGGCGTTGCTATTATCACCTTTAACTCTTCTCCTGGGTAGTATAATTTTCTGTAGCTCTCTGTTTTCATTTTCCTTGGCCTGTTCCTTTTGCTTCTGGATCCTTCTGAGTTCCTCCTCTGTCTTCTTCAGCTTTCCCCTCAGAAGAATCTGCTTCCTCCGGATTTCCTCCTCTAAGTTCTCCCCTGCAGCTTCCAGTCTTCGGATCTGCACGCGCTCAGTCCTCTCGAAGTTTACCGCGGCCCTCTCCTCCTGCACCACAGCAGGAGCAGTACCAAGCACAGAAAAGTTGACCTGGCCCCTCACACCAGGGTTGCTGGATGAAAACTCTCTCAGCTCAGGGGGCCTTGGGTAGACATTCTGATCCCCATCCGTGCCAGCCTCACTCATACTGCCCGACTTCCGATGGACCACAGGTTTCAGTGGGTACGCCCGGTCCACCCCAACTCGTTTCTTTGTAAAGGGGATAAAGTCCTGGTTATTGGCTTTGGGATACCAGGATTGAGGGCATGACGAGTAAAACGAACACTTTCCTTGGCCCTGGGAATCACTTCCTGGATCTTGCTGGCTGATTCCAGTACAGTGGGGATAGGAGTAGCTCCGCGCTTTTGTGTGGGTGTTCCATTTGGGGTGAGGGTAGACTTTATTCAGCGTCAACTCTTTGTTGCTCAAAAGCTTCTTCTGGAAACTGTTACTCAGGTGCCCCTTCAGGGACTGCTGGGAAGAGTCACCTTGTTCGTTAGAGTCTTGCTTCGTTGAGTGGGGCCCTGGAGCTTCTGTTGCATTATGTGGGAGCATAACGCCCACAGGATGTGAGGCCAACTGGAGACCAGCCATTCAGGGCTGATGCCTATGGGAGATTTAAACCAGATACATGGGAAGAGTTTGTCTGAGATTCACTCTTGGCTGCTAGAGCAAACTATTTCTACATTTGCCCTGCCCACATTTCCTGAAACTTTTTTTTTTTTTTTTTTGAGACGGAGTTTCGCCCTTGTTACCCAGGCTGGAGTGCAATGGCGCGATCTCGGCTCACCGCAACCTCCGCCTCCTGGGTTCAGGCAATTCTCCTGCCTCAGCCTCCTGAGTAGCTGGGATTACAGGCATGCGCCACCATGCCCAGCTAATTTTTTGTATTTTTAGTAGAGACGGGGTTTCGCCTTGTTGACCAGGATGGTCTTGATCTCTTGACCTCGTGATCCACCCGCCTCGGCCTCCCAAAGTGCTGGGATTACAGGCGTGAGCCACCGCGCCCGGCCCTTCCTGAAACTTTTCTAGGGACAATGGTGCTCGATCTGCCAAAGTTTCCCTTCAGTAAGCATTCGGTGAGTGATGATAATGCATAAGACACTGTGTTAGGCCCTGAGGATAGAAAAACGAAGGTGCCACAGGTGTTCCTGCTACCTGGCTTTCTTTCCTCCAGCACCAGCCTCTGCCACGCACAGTATACTCTATAGTAGGTGGAAAAAGCATCGGATGCAAAGTCAGGACTTAGGCTTGTAACAGGACCAGCGACTTCTGCCTTGCTGGGCCCCGTTTCTTCACCTGTAAATTGAAGGGTTCCCTCCGAGTCCAGCCTCACCATTTTACAGGTGAGAAAGCTGTGCCCCAGAGGTACTGACTGGCACAAAGAGCTCTCAGGTCTTCCCGCCTGTTGGAACTGCGCTTGATTCCAAAGAGCACAGAGCCTGCTAGGGCCTGGAGCAGGTGCCTGGCTGGCAAATCCTCATCCCAGGAGTCCCTGTGGCGCATACAGTAAAAGTTTTGTAACCTGAGCGTTGAGGCCACCTGACCTGGCTGCGGCCAGTTTTAGATCCCGAAGGCCGAAGTCACGTTCTGTCCCGAAGGGTCAACTGGGTCGCCCCCACTGCGGACTCCGCCTTTGGGGACAAGCCCTCTCGCTCTCCTGCCCTTCGGGCCCTTGGGAGGTGGAGATGCTAACCCCAAGTCTCCCCGCCCTTCTGCGTACCTCAGGCCCTTGGGCACAGCTCCTGCTCAGGGTAAACCCCAGGCCCCAGTTTCCCAGATCTGACCTCCCCCTCGACCGACGGCCGCGCAGGCGCTCTCAGCTGGGCTCTGTTATTCCCGGTGCCTGGAGACGGAGTCACGGGCGCGCCGAGCCCCGCCCCTCGCCGCGAACTCCCCGGGGAGGCGCGCGCAGGCGCCGTGCACCAGCGACCCCGGGCGGCTGGGGGTTGGGGTGCGGTCAGCCCGGGCGTCACTTGACCCAGTGTCGGTTCAACTCTGCAGCTCGGTCCAGCCCTGCCCTCGGGGAACAGGGGAGGGGCGGGAGAGTCTTTCTGGGGCTCCATCAAAGAAGAACTTGTACTTTACTGAGAACGATGCTCCCAGACCCTGGGGCGTGCCCTTCTCGGGCAAAGGGCGGAGGCCCTGGCTGCGCCCCCGCGCGTTTCCGCCGCAGGATGCCGGCGTCCGCCAGCCTGGCGGGAGCGGGGCTGCTGCTGGCCTTTCTCGGCGCGCTCGGCTGCGCTGGGCGGGCCCCAGGTATGGCTGCACGCGCGCGCTCCCTGCTTGTCCTCGCCAAGGCTTTGGAACTTGCAGTCAACGTTTTTGCTACGCAGTATCTTTCCGGGGTAGCTTTTGTGGCCAATCTAATTATTTTGATATTATAATGTTTTACTCTCACGCGGTAACTCTGGCCGTCTCTACTTAGGGCCCAGGAATGACTCAGCCAAATGTAATGATAATAAAAGTTAACTACCAGATCGAAAATAACCTGGTTTCAACACTAAATGATACTCTGTAACTTGTTGACATCAAAAGAAGGTTTATTTTTCTTCTTCGCTTCGGTTCATTTGTGTAAACCGTTTGGAACAGGCAGTTCACTTTTTCCCTGTAACTGCTCAATTCATGCACATGGAAAATAATGTAGACAGCAGTCAACAGTGTTAATACTTCAGCATGTCACATTACAGCTGTTACATGTTACAAAGAAATTCCTTGGTGGACCCACCAGGTCAGTCCTGTTTTTGTTTTTGTTTTTGTTTTTAATTCTTCGTTATCATCCCTAGTTGACTCCACCGCCTCTCCATGCAACTTCAGACATTCCCCACTCAGGGTCCCAATTATCAACCCCCACAGCTGCCCTCGGCAGAATTTACCAGCTTGTCTGTCTGTCTCTCTCCCTCTCTCTCTCTCTCCTGTCTCTCTCCTCTCTAACACACTCTCTCTCTCTCTCTCCTGTCTCTCTCTCTTTCCCTCTCCTTCCCTCTCCTCTATGAGAAAGAAGGGCCACTTTCTTTCCATGAGTTCTCCGCCTCCCGGGTTCAAGAGATTCTCCTTCCTCAGCCTCCTGAGTAGCTGGGACTATAGGCACAGGTCAGCAAGCCCGGCTAATTTTTGTATTTTTAGTAGAGATGGGGTTCACCATGTTGGGCAGAATGGTCTCAGTCTCTTGACTTCATGATCCACCCGCCTTGGCCTTCCAAAGTGCTGGGATTACAGGCGGGAGCCACCATGCCCAGCCCCGAATCAGTTTTTTTCAGTACCCTCCAGGAATTGACTTTGTCACTTTACCCCTGCATTTTTTAATTATTATTTTTATTTTTTTTTATTTTTGACTCAAAGTTCTGCTGAATACCCCTGCATTTAGTTCTTGTTTTTGTTTTTTGGGGTTTTTTTGTTTGTTTGTTTTTGAGACAGAGTCTCGCTCTGTTGCCCAGGCTGGAGTATAATAGCACTATCTGGGCTCACTGCAACTTCTGCCTCCCCGGTTCAAGTGATTCTCCTGCCTCAGCCTTCCACTCGGGGACTACAGGCATGTGCCACCATGCCCAGCTTTTTTTTTTTTTTTTGTATTTTTAGTAGAGACACGGTTTCACCATATTGGCCAGGATGGTCTCGATCTCTTGACCTTGTGATCTGCCCACCTCAGCCTCCCAAAGTGCTGGGATTACAGGTGTGAGCCACTGCACCTGGCCTTTTTTGTTGTTTTCTGGTTTTTTGTTTGTTTGCTTGTTTTGGTTTGGTTGTTTGTTTGTTTTGAGACAGAATCTTGCCCTGTTGCCGGTTTGGACCAACAGGCCTGTGGCCCTTCTTTCTCATAGAGGAAAGGGAAGGAGAGGGAAAGAGAGAGAGAGACAGGCTGGAGTGCAGTGGTGCAATCTTGGCTCACTGTACCCTCTGCCTCTTGAGTTCAAGTGATTCTCCTGCCTCAGCCTCCTGAGCTAGTATTACAGGTGTCTGCCATTATGTTTTGAATAATTTTTTTCTATTTTTTTTGAGAGGGGGTTTCACCATGTTGGCCAGGCCGGTCTTGAACTCCTGACCTCAGGTGATCTACCTGCCTTGGCCTCCCAGAAGTGCTGGGATTACCAGTATGAGCCACTGCGCCCATTCTTTGTTTTTGAGACGGGGTCTCACTCTGTCACCCAGGCTGGAGTGCAGTGACACAATCACGGCTCACTGCAGCCTCAACTTCCACGGCTCAAGCAATCTTCCCACCTCAGCCTCAGGAGTAGCTGGAACTATAGGTGTGTGCCCCCCACACCCAGCTAACTTTTTTTTTTTTTTTTTTCTGTAGAGACAGGGTCTCCCTTTGTTACCCAGCCTGGACTCCAACATCCGGAGTTAAGAGATCCTCCCGCCTCAGTCTCACAAGGTACTGAGATTACAGATGTGAGCTACAGCACCCTGCCTGCATCTTACTAACTTCAAATTGTACCTCTCCATAAACTCCATCTCTTTGGTTTTAAAAGATACTCAACTTTCCCCTCCAAAACAAACTTTACTTCCCTTGACCTAACTTTCATTTTACAGTCTCATTCATTTCTCCTCTTCTCCCCACAAGACTTCTTAATGGGAATCTCCACATTTGCTGCCCCCATATCCTCATCTCCCCCTCATTGTCCAGCTCACTGGGGCCTGGCTTCTACTTTCTCCACTTTATTTAACTACAGAGCTACCAGTGACCTTCCAAAGACAAAAGCTTCATTTCTTCATCCTACTCATGTGACATTATTGATTTTCCACCCACTTAGAACGCTCTTCTCAGTTGCTCCTGTGCCCTCTTGGTTTCTTCTTTCATGTCCTTGCTCCATTTTCTTCCAAGTCTCTGGCATATAATATCTTTTCCCCATCTGCCCCCTAAGTTTAAGTGTGTTCTGAAGCCCTCAGATTTCTTATATATGTAGTTCCAGACATTCTTTTCTTTAAAGATTTCAACCAAATGCTGAAATTTCAGGTTTCACCTGTGTTTAAATGACAGCCAACTTAGCTTTAGTCTTTCTCATAAGTTACAGACTCAAATTTAGGACTGTTCATTTGACACCTCCACAAGATTGTGCCTCAGGAACCTCAAATTCTGTATGATAACATAAACTCATGATCCTCTCCCTTTCTCAGATCGGCTTCTCCAGTGTGCCTGTTCATGCCCACAGCATCAGTCTTCCATGCTTCCCTCTTTGTTGCCTCTTCCTTATATTCTTTTTTTGTTTGTTTATTTTGAGACTGAGTTTTGCTATTGTTGCCCAGGCTGGAGTGTGATGGCACGATCTCGGCGCACCGCAACCTCCGCCCCTGGGTTGAAGTGATTCTCCTGCCTCACCCTCCTGGGTAGCTGGGATTACAGGCATGCACCACCACACCCAGCTAATTTTGTATTTTTAGTAGAGATGGGGTTTCTCCATATTGGTCAGGCTGGTCTTGAACTCCCAACCTCAGGTGATCCACCTGCCTTGGACTCCCAAAGTGCTGGGATTACAGGCAAGGGCCACTGCGCCTGACCATTGCCTCTTCCTTCTAACTGATCACAGGTTTTATTGAGTTTACTGTTTTAAAAAATTTGAGACAGTCTTGCTCTTGTCACCCAGGCTGGGGTGCAGTGGCACGATCTCAGCTCTCTGCAGCCTCTGCCTCTCAGGTTCAAGCGATCCTCCTGCCTCAGCCTCCCTGGTAGCTGGGACTACAGATGCATGCCACCACGCCTGGCTA